AAAATTTTCGTTCTTCCACGCAACGAGCAGAAGCCACATATCACGAAATATGTTAGCATTCTAATTGGTCGGATCAAGAGTAAATGAACTCTTCGGTTAACACAGCAACAAAAAATCCTAATTCCTCATAAATCATCCAAGAAACCCACAAAAATCACTTGTCATGAATTGTAAAGGCACAAAAGGAAATTTAGCTATGCATGTTAGAAAGGACGCAGGAAAACTATTCAATGGAAATCATAATTGCAAGTAAAAACTGAAAGTATAAACTTACAACACAATTTTTTCCGTATTCCACAGCAGTCAAATCCTCTCTAATACAATAAAGCCTTCAGAACATGTAAGAAAACACAAAGTAAGAAGGTATGAAATACCCTTAGCACTACAACTCCTAACAGTGGAAGAGAATCAGAAGAAAACCCCCTCTTATTGCTCTTTAGTCCTCTCCAGAATTCTCCCCCTTTAAAAAATGAGCTAAAAAACTTTTATATAGTTTAATCCATGAATTTGATAAGAAAATTTCTTGTCAAAATAATTTTCCACTTCGTTGGCATGGTTACGTCGAAAAGTCGCATGGCCACACCAGCCTTTTAAATCGAGCGACATGGTCAAGCACGATCCCGACGTGGTCACGCTGCCTTACTGAAGTTTCGATGTGGTCACGCCATTAGTGTCAATACCTTGACGTGGTCACGCCTTCTCAAGGTGTAGTCACATTGCTTAAGATTGCTTTTACATTGGTTTTTTACATTCCAAAATGTTTATTTTCAACCCCTATAACCTGCACAACATCAACAACAACTTTCCCGAATTGTAAATCTGTGATAAATTAGTAAAATAATAAATAAAATGAAAGGTAAAAAGAAAGTGAAATCACGTAAAATTAACTCATGTTACTTATCATGATTCTCGCTCTCATCAGCATGTATATTTCATCAAGAAATATATGGTCTTAAACAAGGTCCTTGTTAATTGTTCAACATCTTCACTTGATAATTAATCAACTTTGCCTTCAACCGTAGTCAAGTAGGTCCTTTAGCCATCCACCAATGCCACTTCATTTCCATTTATTTACTTCTCTTCATCAATGATATTTTGCTAATTGACAACAACTCGAATGTCATACACCACCTCATGAATGATCTAAAGAAACATTTTCACATGAAATATATTAGCAACATCTTTATCTTTCTAGGCATCAACATCATGCACGTAAAATCAGGTTTCTTCCTTAATTAAACTCGCGATGCCATTAAACTCTTCAAACTACAAGTATGTTTGACTATAAGGCAAAAGCCAATCCAATCTCCCCCTCATCTAAAACCTCTTAAAGCCTTCACCGCCCTTTGCCAACTCTCACCTCCATCATCAACTAGTTGAATACCTCTAATGACTCATAGTAACAAGACTAGACATTACTTTTGAGGTTAACAAATTATCACAACAACTTCAAACTTCCAGTTGCTACAACTACGAACAACTCAAAAGACTATTATGCTACATCCAAGGTATAATATGTTTTGTCCTACCTCTCCAACCTAGCCCTCTCCCACTTCGCAGCTACTCCAACTACAGCAGAGCTAATGACCCAATAGACCGATGTTCAATCACCGGCAACAATCTCATATTCTGGCAAATCAAGAAGTAATCCACCGTAGCCCGCTCTTCAACCGAAGCTGAGTATCAAGCACTCTCAATTGCACCATTGACGTCATTTAGCTTAGATGATTGCTCCAAGAATTCTAAGTTCTTGTCTCCCAACCAACTATCATCCACTAAGACAACACCTCCGCTCAACTATTGCCCACAATCTGTTATTCCATGCCCGAACTAAACATATCAAAATTAACTATCATTTTATCTGGGAAAAGATTCAGTCTCAGAAACTTGATATTCACTACATAACAACCAACAAACAATTGGTTGACATCTTTACCAAATTACTTCTGACGCCAAAGTTCATTACTCTTCATGACAAGCTGACCCTATAGGCTGGAATGAGTTAGCTTTAGGGGGGTCATAACAACTCATACGAGGCAAGGAGCAACATGCCACCTTCTGAGAGTAGCATGGCTCATCATCACTGACCAAATTCTTATATTCTAGTTTTACCCTCATAACTGCCTTTCTCTAGAATCATATGTACTAACTATATATATATTTCTTGTTTATTGCTTCCTATAGTAGAATGGAAAGCAAACCTTTTCTTCTCAGATCACTTCACTTCCTCTACATGCCATATATCATTTCCCTATTAACCGTGTTTTCATAGGATTTCTCTCTGGCATCATGTATTTCTTGAATCCACTCTCATCTTTTTTTGGCATTTGATGGATTTTAAGAAAAAATTGAAAATTAGATTAATCTAACCTTTAGATCAGTTCTTCTTGTAAGGATAATCTTTTCCAATGTGTTGGATTTTGATCATCCCTTTGGACCAATGAGATCTTATGTTCTCATGTGCCAACTCGAGCTTGGCTCGATAAGTGGCTCCTCAGCTGAGTTTATCTCGATGAGCTAACAAGCTAAGCTCAAGTCAATCCCGATTCGACTCGTTAACTCGTGAGCCGGCTTGTTTGATAAAATAGTAATATAAAATATACTCAAAATATATCACATTTAAAAATTTTATTTTTAAACTATTAATATCTAAAAAAATTATGTTTGTATTTCATATTAAATGATTTCTCATTATTTCTCTCATAATTACTCATTATATTAGTAATTTTATTATAACGTTACCTTAAATTAATATTATTATCCCTCTTTCATAATAAATAAGTCGGCTCGTGAGCCAGCCGGAACTTGTAGAAGTAAGATCAAGCTCTAGCTCAAACTTGATAAAATTAATCAAGCTCAAACTTAAGACAAAGGTGGCTCGAGCTTGACTTGAGTCATTTGCACTCCCAAAATGTTGCTCCAGGATGAGTGGAAAGAGATGAATCCATGATGTTCATTTAATTAATTGAAATGAACAACCATAATTTAGTTGTATGGGAGACTTATATATTGCTTAAGTAGAAAATGATTTGATTTGATTCCAATGTGAAGGGCTTACAGAGTAAGCAAATCCATAAGGAAATCGAGAAAAGTAGTCAATATGATAAATTTTTAATTAATCCAAAAAATTATTTGAAAAAAATATCCTATATTTATTAAGATTAAAATCAAAGTTTGACTCTTGATGGACTTTGATTAAATAAAAAAGACATTAAAAGTAATTAATATGTCATTAGCTAATTATATGAATTTTAATTTAATTTTTAATAAAATTGCTCCCAAATATTCCTTGGGTCATCAATGGCCTTGCATAATTTTCTTGAGAAAATTTAAAGTCTATATTTTACTTATCTCCATGTCAAGTTTTAATTTGGTGGTAACCACTTTTTAAAGTAATATTTATTAAATGAGTGGTCACCTTTTAATAGCACTGCTATCAACGCCCATTCATTGTGATCCAATCTTCTCATGTGTAAAAAGTTTAGGTAAAAGCAAGAACTAAGCCTTATCTAAAGAAATCCTTTTTAAAGGAGCCTATTAACATGCTCTTTCAATTTAATATTTTTAAAGGATTCATCATATGGTATAAGAGAATTAATAATTATGAATTAGGAACAATATTTAAAGCATACTGAATTTTCCTCATAAGTTGGAGGCTCAAAAAAACATATCATTTGAGTAGACAATAGAATACTTATTAAATTAATTAAATACATTAGTAGGTATGATATTTCTATGGAAATTAAGTGTCAACTCCTTTACAGACGAAATGTGAAAAGTAAATTAAAAAATTTACTTTAAAGGTATCAAACCTAAAATATTGAAGGTTAAAACTAGAAATTAAGGTGTAATTAGCTTGTATGGTCACTTTCAACCTGAAACTCCCAATCAATTGCCAGTTCAAGCCTAAAAAACAAAATATTTCCCATCTCTTCGATAGATGTGTAAGTTATATGTTAGAAGTTGGCTTATAAAGAGAGGATGGGGTGGCTTTTATGGATGGCTTCATGGTATAAAATTTAATATTATTATCATAACATTTAAATACATAAAATTTCTCTAAAATATAATTTATGAAATAAATATCAAATAGTCATGACAACTTGAAGAAAATACGAGTTATATCTATGGAAAGAACATCACACCATAAATGATCTTCATAGATGCCCATTTTTATTGGCACCATATATCTTACTCAGGCTATAAGATATGCAGCATTCACCCCAATCACATGTAAGGACTTTGGATTTGGTTTGAGATTAAATTTTCCCTTGTTAGAGCATGGATAGATTTAATAGTCATTGCAATATTTCCATTAATCCCAAAACTACATTTCCTGTCCATGCATATAACTTACATGTTAAAGGTTTTCCTTGTTCTCTAATATTCAATCTCAAGCTTCTTAACTAAAAGCCTTGGAAAACTGAAGTTTTGCTCACTACTTCCTCTTGCATCATCAAGAGAGTTTTATCAATAATCTAGTAAAAATGTTCCATCTTCCTGGTACTCTCCCTCTATCATAAATAATAACTTGAAATGCATACAGGGATATGTTCATGAATGGATTTAAATTTCTATTTATGCTCATATATATATATATATATATATTTCAATCTTGGAATCAATAAGTCATAGTGCATGAGTGCTTACTATCAAAGAAATGGAATTAGAAGTAGGCCTATATACAAAAAAAAATGGTGCTTTGGGTAGTTATCCCAGTGAAAGACACAAGTTTCATTTGTTTCTTAACTAGGAGGCAATAATGAAATACATACTTAATCGGCTAAGGATCATGGAGCTCTACCTCATTCCTAATCTTTATCCCAAGTAAGAGAAGAAAATTATTAGGGAGTTTCCAATTGGAACTATTGTACCATCCTAACCACTACATCTTCAAATGCATTAAACATAGAGAATGAAGAAAATAAAAAAAAAAAAATTTCCTAAAATTTATTTTTCTTTAAGAGTTTAATGCAGTTCTTTGATTATTATCAACGACTGTTTCCATCATCCAATTATAACATTCAGTCTCATATACTGCAAAAAACAAAAAAAGAGATAACATGATAATTTTCTCCGAAATCAAGTCATTACAAAATTTTAACCTTTGTAGATGCAGGAGAAATGCACCGGCCGCACATATATAACAGAACGGCTCTGTATTATCTAACTTTGGACAAAATTCTCAAAAAGATTCACTGGAAGGTTCAGCGACGATCATATGAGGTTCACTTCTCCGACCCCAGCGGCATTTACATTTTAAACGAATAGGACGATAATTAACAATTGCCTGAGTTACATGAAGGAAGCTAGAGGGGAAATGTCATGATTTAATAGAGAGCTTCTGCAAAACTTTCCAGTACCTTAAACAAGAAGGATTCAAATGTACTGCTCGAAGAACCCATCTCTCAGGGGTCTGGTATGATTCTATGTTTGTTTGCTGGTCAAAAGCTGCGGTAGATTGTCTTGCAAGGATGTGCATCTGGAAGTACAATTCGGCAGGCCTCATTTCTGCAAATCAAACAAGTTATTCAGCAAACTGCTGAAGAATATTTTGAGTAAAGATGAAGTGATGGAACATATAATAATGCTAATAACCTGCTGGCCAAGAGAACCATTCAAGACGTAGATTTCTTTCCCACCTGGCCTTGGCTCCAACGCTTCCTTCTACTTGACCTAATAATGCTGAAAGAATGGGTAAAGGAAACTGCGAAGTCACCTGGGCCTTGACCAGACTTTGTATAGCACGCGATAAGAACTGCAAACCCATCTGTTGCCTAGCAAGTTCCATGCACACGGCACCTGCAAAAACATCATATAATACCCTTGAGAAATGGTATTGTAACATTTTGTAGCAGAAAGGTGGAGATTGAGAGAAGCGATAAAATAATGTTTTAGCTTAAAACTCACGAGAGAAGTATCAACACAAGCATGAAAGTATTCAAACCATATAATATTTATCTATCTTAAGTTTGCTGAATGAGCTTATACTTTTCACACAAATCTATCTAGTAGAAAACAGTATAAACAGCCAAAACACAAATAATATTAAGCTACTTATTTCAAAAGGTGATTAAATATTAAAACCTGGCAAGATGCAACAAACGACATGCTAAAGGTTAAAAGCAAAGAATTTTTGGAACAGCCTAGGCATACTAAAATAATAATACTAATAATAATTATTATTAATAATATTATTATTATTATTATAATGATAATAATTATTATTATTATTAAAACTAATGTAAAAGTACTAAATCAAAATTCACTAACAAACTGAGGAAGATTGGAAAATAAAAAAAACAAGCTACCAAGATTAAAATTATACCATGCGCAAGAAAAAAGCAGCTTTCAGCCTTGGAAATGCTACATGCTTGTACTAAAGCTTGTTCGGCACTGACAAAATCCTGATCCCATATGAAGCATAGTGCAGATATAAATCCAAAGACAGCCATCCACATGTTAGAAGAACTAAGTTCTGCTGTGAAGCATGCCTTAAAATTCACATCAACTGTGTTATAACCGCTCTGCAATTTATACCTGGATTCAAGGTATTTCAAGGAAAGCCAACCAGTCTGATTGAGTGTCTTAAACTTTGAACAGTTCATATACTCATTCCTCAGGTTTGTTAAAGATTCCTGTGCTGCATAGAGACGACACAGTTGCAAGTGTGCAAAGAAGGAATTGTCATTGGATGGAAGAAGTTCTAATGCAGTGGCCACATAATCAGTACAGCCAGCATAATCCAGACACTGTAAGCTGATCTCTGATGCAGATAATATAAGTAGGAACCTCTGATACTTGCTTATTTCATTCATTATAGACGTTTCATCATAGAGGGAAATGGCAATCAAACGTTTCAAAGCAATACAAAGATGTCGGGGAAACTTTTCTTCACGAGCTCTCTGCAGAAGATTAAGTATGAGAAGGTACCGTGCCTCATGGTTCCATGGTTCTTGATGCAAACTTCTGAAACATAAAAAATAGCATTTAGGTAATTACAATACTTAACAGGAAAGCCCAAAGAAAAAAAAGGAAGATGAAAGAGAAATAAAAAAGACGAAACTTACTTTTGAAGATATTCAGTCACAGGAGACCCATGCATAGGCTGATTTGCAGGAAGGGAAAGAAAACTTTGGTCTTGTTACACAGCTAGCATAACAAGCAACTCCGGCTGCACCATGGATTTCAAATGGTGATTTTAAGCTAGTCCTTAAAGGTATTCCTGTCGACAAAACAGTGCATCTCGGTGCTATATGTGAAGCCAACCATACTTCCGAACATAGCACAAGTGATCCAAGATGGTTTCTGTGATTAAAAAGAAAAAAAAAATCTTCTGAATGTATGGGCAAAAAGAAAAAGATTTATAGAAATTAGTATTTAAGCCTCAATTAACATGTTGATGAGAGAGAAACTGCAAAGTTTCAAGATGTTCATGAACTATTTCCAATATTTCATAATCATGCTACTAATAAACCCCAATTCTCCTACATAATTATAAAAAAGAGGGAATTATTTCTAAACATCGCAAAGACATTTACTTAAATTTACAATATTATTAAATTACAAAATATAACAATATAATATGAAAACTAAACTTCATGTAATAATGTTGGAGCTTTTTTGTTTTCAATTAGTTCTTTTGGCCCAAAAAGCCCTGCTGGAAGTGGCTAAGGCTCTGAATTTGGATAGGGCAAGGCAAATGAAACCAAGCAAGCAGCAAAGACAAGCAGCAAGGGAAGCTCTCAACCAGCAGTAGGAGAAACAAATTTCCATCTTTCAGTAGCAGAACACTGGGAACACCAAGTCCGAGGTTAGAGCTAAAGCTTATAAGCCCAAGAAGCACAAACACAACCTGCATTTGATGTGGAGCCTTCACCGCATTTGCCAAGCCATGTGCTTGTCAAATAATTTCAAGGCAAACACTACTTTTAATTCAGCACAAGAAATTCCTTTGTCTACATCGGAAATCTGGCTACACAAATCTCAGGGAATCCGATGATCCAGACAAGGAGGATACAAAAAGATCGTGTTATCAGCCAAAAGACTGAACCATCTTGTGTCATCTCATTCAATTGGCCAACAGGTTGACCGAACGAAAGGAAATCAAGATCCAAACCAATAAACGCTGTCCGGCATAACCGACACTGACCACGTAAAATCAGCTCCTCAACTAATTCTAGGTCACTCAAAGAAAAGGTCAATGGTCGCTCTAACTCTTCGTAAGGACCATTCCCCTTAACGAATGCTGCCTGTCAAATTATGGTGATACACCCTTTGCCTAGTGGAATAAACCTTCACAAAGGATAAGGTCTCTATTTAAAGTTCCCTCAAGAAAGTCGACCGAATAAATCTCAGTCGACCAAATGATGATTAGCTGACCAAGTTGAGCAGTTACAAATATAAAACAACATCAACAACAATTACCAATAGGAATAGGCGTGAAAAAAGATCCAAAAAATAATTACGAATCTATAAAGATATACTGACTAATAAATAATCAATATCATCCTTATTCAATCAGGGACAAGCATGTAATTTACTAGACACCCCCTATGATCTATAAATAGGGGAGTCATTATTTCAAGAAAGACTATTGAATCTATTCGAAGAAATTTAGTATAATTTGTTGCTTACTTTCTTATTCTCTCTCACTCCACCTCTCTATTCTCCCTTATTCCTCCCAATTGACCAACGCTCTATCATTTGGGCGTGCCCCAGTTTTTGGATTCAACATCCCAAAAATTACGATGAGCTTGGAGAAATATCTTCAACAAGAAAAGGAGCGAGTCACAAACAAGGAGCACACATAAGAGAAAAGTTTAATATGGATTCCGACAAAGAATTCATGCAACAACGAATTCAAGACATTCAGGATCGGATGGCAGATTAGTTTGTGGAACTGACCCATGTAGTGCTTGAGGGGGAGATAATAGTCTCTCCCACAACCTAATCCTTCAGCACCTGAGCCCCAAGGCAATCAAACGGCTCAAGGAATCGAACGGGTGAAAGAATCTCAGTAACAAGATAGTTTTGGATCCATGACCAGGAACAGACTACAAGTGGGCAGATTGAAAGTGTACCATCGATTGGAGAATATGTTCTCAAGGCAAATTACTGATGAAGAAACCCCCGAGAAGTTCAATGTTCCATCTTTGGAGCCATATAAGAGCCGGAGTAATCCGACCGATCATATTGCGTCCTTTTGAGTCAACTATGTCTTCTTAAAGTTTCCAACGTATTGAAATTTCGTCTATTTTACACCACGCTCAGGGATTGAGCTCTCGGGTGGTTCAATGGACTCCTCGTCATAATTATTACTTCCTTTGGAAAATTCAAGAAGTTATTTACGATGTAGTTCACTAGCGCCCAAAAGCCCCGCAAGGGTTCAAAATAATTGTGGCACGCCAAGCAGGGACCCAACGAGAGCCTACAAGCATACATTACATAGTACCAGAAGGAGATGCTGGAAGTACAAAATTTGAAGCCAGCGATTGCAAAGGCCTGCCTAACACAAGGGCTAAAGAGCCCGCATTTCAATTACTTTCTGGGTTTACGAAAACCTAATACTTTGGCCGAATTCTTGGAGTTGGCCAACGACCAAATTGCAGCAGAGTATGTAAACCGTCCTGTCTCTAAAGACGAGAAGCTTGATTCTCTATCAGGCAAAGAAAGCTCGTAGGACAACGAGTGAAGGGAGAAGGATGGCCCTCACGCTAAGCATGAAAGAGGTCATCCCATAGGGATAAAGAAGCTGACCAAAATCCACGAAGCTACTGTTAATCGAATGATCGTTCAGCTGGCGATTGACCCACTCCACTAAGGGTTTCGATAACAAAACTAATGGAAGCTATTCAGGATAAAGAATACTTCTGAAAGGCTCAGCCAATAAAAATTGGGGCCTTCCTCCAGAACACCAAAAAGTTGGGCAAATATCATAAAGACCATTGTCATGATAATGAGGATTGCAGGCACCTCTAGAGCCTGGTCGAAGACCTGATTAAGGATAAAATCTTAAAGAATTGATGGCCCGCGGTGTGCACACTCACAGAGAAGGGAAGGCACCGACAGAGGATAATTCGGATGGACCTGTCCAAGTGAATGCTATCCACATCACAGGAATAGTACCAGTGATAATAGGAGGCTCGGTCAGAAGAACCGATCGAAGTATGATCCGGTCAAGTGAGAATTGTGCTGTGGCATCTGATCCGAGGAGGAAGCCTTATCCCACGATCATTTTCACCAATTTAGATTTATCCCCGCTGGGAATCCGTACAACGAAGCCATTGTCTTTACGGCTATGATTAACAATTATCAAGGTAAGAAGCGTCTTGGTTGATCAGGTAGTTCGGGCAACTTACTCTTCAAGTCTGCTTTCGACAAAATGAACATGTCAATCCATCACCCGGTTGCGTAAACTAGCCCACTGTACGGGATTTCATGCGAAAGAAAGGAGGCCATTGGTATAATTAGACTGTCAGTCACCCAACGAAACGGTGGCATCAAGTTCACTAATATGGAGGATTTCTTCATGGTAGATGCACCGTCAACATACAACGCGATCTTTGGTTATCCATTGCTTAACTTCCGAGCAGTCGTATTCACATACCATGTGGCTGTGAAATTTCCCTGTGATGGGAAAATCGTGATCGTACGTGGAAACCTAGAGCAATGTCAGTCGTGCTACCTCCGGGTGGTAGGTAGAGTGGAGCAAGAATCATTGGACATCCAATACCAATGGGAAGGAGCTCTTTAAATTGATGAAATTACCATGGAGATCCCCGACGATCTCAGCAAGCTTGGTAAATTTCTTCTAATTAGTAAGACTTTTGATGCAAGGCACAAGGATTAGTCGATACACACTCTCCAAGAGCACCATGACGTCTCTCCGACATCTCTCCTGGTCAACCGTTGAAATGCCAGGCATTCCCATAGACATAGCTTGTCATCGCCTCAATGTGAGCTTAACAGCCTTACCTGTGAAACTGAAGATTCAATAGTCAGCCATGACCTTGGCAAGGCCTATGCGTGAGGAGGTACAAAAGCTCAAGAAGGCAGGCTACATCTGGGAGATAAAATACCTCCCTTGTATATGTAACGCAGTCATGGTGCAGAAGTCTAATGGCAAGTGTAGGATGTGCGTGGACTTCACAAATTTGAATGTGGTTTGCCCCAAGAATGGTTACCCCCAGTCAAGAATTGATGCACTGTGGATTCCGCAGTCAGACATTCTGTCAGGAATATCCTCGGCGCTTTCTCCGACTGCCACCAAGTTAAGATGCACCCTATTGATGCTGAGAAGGCCGTTTTTATTATGAGTGAAGACTATATTGTTACACTACAATGCCCTTTGGCCTGAAAAATAATGGGGATACTTACCAATGACTTATGGATGTAACATTCTCTGAGCAAAAGAAAAAAATATTGAAATTTATATTGAAAATGTCCTAGTTAAGTGTAGGCCAGCCGAAGAACATATCAAAGACTTGAAAAAAGCCTTTCAGACTATTAGAAAATATAACATGAAATTAAACACAATAAAATGCACGTTTTAGAGCATCAACCGAAAAGTTTCTAGGATACCTTCTGCTCGAGGGTATAAAAGCCAAAATGGAGAAAATAAAGGTAATCCTGGCTATGTCATCTTAGAATTCCAGGGAGATGCAAGAGCTAACCGGTTAAATAGCAGCACTTAGCAGGTTCATCTTCAAATCCTAAGACAAACGTGCCACCTTTAAAGTACTGAGGAGCGCCAAAAAAATTGGATGGTTGATCGAATGCGAACAAGATTTCCAAAGTCTGCATCAGTACATAGTCTCAGCACCGTTGTTGTAGAGCCCAAAGTCGAAGGAATAACTTTCGCTATATCTCGGTGTTGGTGCAGAAGCCATCAGTTCAATCTTGGTTCGAGAAGAGCTTGGAAAGCAATACCCTGTCTACTACACCAACCGGGTGCTCGGGGGAGCCGATGTCAGACACCCAATTATAAAAAAAGTAATATTTTGTTTAATTATTTCTGCTTGCAGGCTCCAACCGTATTTGCAAATGTACCTGATCGGAGCAATTGCTGACCATCTCCTCAAATCCATGCTAACTCAGTCAGAACACATATCAGATCCTAAAGTGGGTTGTGGAACTCAATAAGTATGATATTAGCTATATTCCCCGAAAGGTAATTAAAGCTCAAGTTGTAGCTGACTTCTTGGTCGACTTCTCCGAACATGGTTAACCAAGCAAAGGAGCTGAAGTTGGCAATCAAACCTGGACTCGACACATTGATGGAGCCTCCAATCAGGCAAGTGCAGGAA